GAGTGTGTTGCCTTGGGTTAGACTCAACAAGCGTCTTCAGAGAATCAATATCAATTCCAACATGTCGGCCCAGTTTTTAAGGCTAAAGTCACCTGAATGAAATTTGCTGAGCCATCGTTGACACTTACGAACGTTCGAAACATTTCCAAAAACTTCTTTGATATTCTTTGTGGCTCCAAAGGCGTTGTTTCCCTTCTTGTATTCAAACAGCATTACATGCCGAATGTGTGTCTCATCATGTGCCATCACTATAAGGGATTAGAGTATACTAAACTTTACACGTTATATAGGCTACACTAACGTGACGTTTAGGCGGTTCGTTTAACTATTATACATGATGTACGTTTTTTGGGAGGTGGTTGATGAAAGTGTTTCAAAATGCGACATTAATTTCTTGACGACCTAATAGATCATTCAAAATACTGGCTTAGAATTTCAGTCTCTTTTGATTATATCGGTTTTTTGTGAAATAAAGTGTACTTAATAGACACCTTCTGTAAAACTAGAATGGTCAGGAAAAGTCAAAATAATTTAATTTAAATATCTGGTGAAATTTCTAAATGCTTTGACGTTTGTTTGTTAGAATTTATGCACAAGGCTACACAATGGGCTATCTGTGCTCTGCCCACCACGAGTATCAAAACCCGGTTTCTAGCGTTGTAAGTCCGCAGACATACCGCTGTTCCACTGGAAGGCTTCTAAATGCTATTGTAGCTATCCACGTGTTAAACGAAAGTATACATTTTTCACATAATATCTGTATGATGATGAAATATTAGGATAAAAATTTATATCTTTGCAGCTGTATCAGTTTACCTCATACAAGAACATAATAATATTCCAACATCATCATTACTAATCCTACTTATAACGCTGCACGTGTTACAGAACAAAATAATCAAGCTCCCCAGATTTTGCACATAACACCTAATTTAGTATTGCAGAAAATTAACACCAATTCTAACAACAAGATACATTCACATAACACTTAGTCTACAATGAAATTGAATTCACATAACACATATTTTAACAATAAAATGAATTCTCATAAATCCTATAAAACAAGACTTTCCTAGTGGTCAGTATAAAACATTAACTTTCCTTAACTAACGTGTAACAGTGACCTTTTACAGGATTTCATAAATTATGACATGAAACAAGACTTTCTCACTGGTCAATATAAAACATTAACTTTCCTTAACTAACGTGTAACAGTGTTCTTTTACAGGATTTCATAAATTATGACATGAAACAAGACTTTCTCACTGGTCAATATAAAACATTAACTTTCCTTAACTAACGTGTTACAGTGTCCTTTTACAGAATTTCATAAATTTTGTGCTACTTTGTACGTCGGTTCTGTATTTTTGTTTGCATCGATAAGACTGTTGATTGTGGTTGCTAAGATTTTTTAAAACAGACAGACAGTATGTCTCAGACATCGCAAAATACAAAATAGGAAAGGAAAAAAAAGACAAATTAAAAAATCAGGAACTTCAGAAAATTGATTTATTTTTAATATGTTAATATCGAAACAGAAAAAGAGGATAGAAATACACATAGTTACTCACATTCTATTCAAATGCCAATAACGAACAGTAAGTGGGACCAAATTAATTTTTTCTAGTGGTCTGTAACACGCTACTTACCCACCGTAGATAAGACAGTGTCCAGTGAAGTAATACAGCATCTCTAGGAGTAAACATCACACGAACTAAACTTTAACGACTTTTTCATGACGTCACGTATACAAGAAAGTGTCTAGTGAAGCAATACTGTATCTGTTGATGCAAACGTAACAGAAACTAAAGTTGAACGACGTTTAACATGACATCACGCAAATAAGGTAGTGTCAAATGGAGCAATACTCTGTAGGATAAATATGACACCAACTAAACTTTAACGACGTTTTCATGACGTTACATATACAAGAAAGTGTTGTGACGTATCTGCTTCTTTGTTTGTTTCCAGTACAAATTATTTCCGAGGATCTTCAGCGATACGAGTCCTTTCTTGATTAAACCAGTTTATTCTTCCTCGATACAAACTTTTAGTACACAGAAGTTGCACAATCAGTACGTTTCTCGTCACTTTAACTTAAAATTTTTTATAATATACCCTATAAATCACAGTGATTCACAATCTCGATAACTTCGCTCTCGACGAGCGCAAAACACACAGTTTACGGCTCACTAGGTCGAAACTAACAGAATCATAAATTACATGGAACTCAAAGTAACTACTGCTCTCTCTCTTCATTAACCCTGTTGGCCCCTTCAGCCAGGCTTATGTACTAACGAAGAGGGCATCTCGAACTTCCCCGATCATTTGAGAAACATCACGCACGCTACCAGCGCTAAACGCGCCAGCAGCGTCACGTGACTTCCGCTACTAACACTGCCACTTTCTTAGTATTGTTCGTCCCGAACAATAGCCACTTACGTTAAACCAATAGATAATTAACAATAACTTAATTAAATGTACAGAATTTATAAACACAAAATTAAAATACAACAAAGTCTCTTAATTTTACAGGACGTTTCTTGTTTCGTACTG